CACACACACAGCACACTACACACAGCACACTACACACACAGCACACACAGCACACTACAGCACACTGCACACACACAGCACACTACACACAGCACACTACATACAGCACACACAGCACACACATACATCACACAGCACACTGCATACAGCACACTGCATACAGCACACTACATACAGCACACAGCACACTGCATACAGCACACTGCACACACACTACACAGCACACTACACAGCACACAGCACACTACACACAGCACACTACACACAGCACACTACACACAGCACACTACACACAGCACACTGCACACAGCACACTACATACAACACACTACATACAACACACTGCACACAGCACACTACACACATGCACACAGCACACTACACACAGCACACTACATACAACACACTGCACACAGCACACTACACACAGCACACTACATACACACACAGCACACTACACACAGCACACAGCACACAGCACACTACATACAACACACTACATACAACACACTGCATACAGCACACTGCACACAGCACACTACACACAGCACACTACACACAGCACACTACACACAGCACACACTACACACAGCACACTACACACAGCACACTACACACAGCACACTGCATACAGCACACTGCACACAGCACACTACACACAGCACACTACATACAGCACACAGCACACTGCATACAGCACACTACACACAGCACACTGCATACAGCACACTACACACAGCACACACACTACACACACAGCACACAGCACACTACATACAACACACTACATACAACACACTGCACACAGCACACTACATACAACACACTACATACAACACACTGCACACAGCACACTACATACAGCACACTACATACAACACACTGCACACACAGCACACTGCACACAGCACACTACACACAGCACACTACATACAACACACTGCACACAGCACACTACACACAGCACACTACACACAGCACACTACATACAGCACACTACACACAGCACACTGCACACAGCACACTACATACAACACACTACATACAACACACTGCACACAGCACACTACATACAACACACTACATACAACACACTGCACACAGCACACTGCACACAGCACACAACACACTACACACAGCACACTACACACAGCACACAGCACATTACACACAGCACACAGCACATTACACATCACTGAGAGTGCATCCAAAATGCCACTGCAGGTTACACTGGGAATAGTTCTGCAGACACAGCTCCGTCTATTGCTCCACTGAAGAGAATATGACAGGTTTTATATTTTTATTATTAGTGTCATGAGATAATCAAAGCATAGTTCTACACCAGTAATGTGCAGAGTCTTTTCTGTCAGTTTAAACATTCATTTAAAGAGGTTGTCAAATATTAAAGGTGCTTTTCAAATGATTTCTTATATTTAGAGTTCTACATTCTGGGTATTTACATGTGTAGCCTATATAAATCGCACTAACACTATACTTACAGCCACACTTACTCTTTAATGCTCTAAATGACATTTTGTTGAATCTCTTGATACATAAACACTTTCAGGGGGATTTGTGAGCAATACGCCTGCTTTTAATAGGCTTATAATTAGTTCCCAGGTCCACACTGCCTCCTGGGGAAGATCTGACACCTTTAACACTGGGGCACGTGGCTCAGTGTGGACCCTGTCCGCGTTCTGCACATGGGGCAATACGCACGTGGGTCTGAGGAGCGCACTGTCACTTTGATCAGTTCACAATAGACTGTACATACCTATTTACGCTTACACAGCAGTGCTCTGAAACCTTTTCAGTAAAAGAGCTACACTGGCCCGTCTCAAACCAAAGCAAAGTCAGAGTCACAACTTACAGTCTAGGCTCTAGGGAATGTCAGACAGCTCAATGAGAAGTGGCTCCAGCGGGCCCCCGCTCCTCCGCACGTGGCAGTCTGCCTATGTTGAACTGCGCAAGGAGGCCAAAGTTTCTCCTGTGCGCATCGAAGCTGTTTTAACCCTTTGTAACTACAAATGATGCTCACGCTGCACGAACGAAGCAAACTCATGTATCATAGACTAAGTGCATTGATCAAAGGTCCTCACTTGAGCCGTGCAGACCGCATTCACACTGCATCATGTCCGGATAGATCCAGGCTGCTTTAATCCCAAACTCTCCTAAAACTGCTGTGCTGTGGCCCGAAAGTCATTTGAAGCGGGCCCAGGTCAGGTCCTACAAAGCTGATCCTGGTACTGCTCAGAGCGGGAGGGGACGGGGGACAGCGGTGTGGTGACCATGATGCGCCTGGTCCTTCATTAACAGCATCGTAAAAATCAAAGGTATAAATATTTTCTGCTATTTAATCCATGCATCAGCGCTGACTCACTTTTTTGACAATCTGCCTCATATTCATAGATAGGCCTAATAATCGATTGACGATTATGATTGAATAGCCTTTCTGTGTAGATTCTATATCGTGAGGTAGGCCTACTGCGACAGAGCGCAGCACATAGGTTCAGTATTTCAGTTGGATTAAATATTAAACGCGAGGTCAGGTGTCTTAACAAAAGTTCTAGTTCATCTCTATGGTCGCCAGAGGACGGTGCTCAGCATTGAATGACAATGGCAAACAAAAATAAAATCTTGGCTGAATTGTTGTCATGGAGATATATGACTGCTGTCTGGAGCGTGTTTCCGCAGCCCAGTGTGAGGCTGCAGCTCACAGGACACTTGGATCAGCTGCATTTGTAAAACAGACAGATCCATTAAGAGCCCTACCATGTGGGTTTATCAATGTAAAATCCACATAATTAGCATCTCATGCTTATGTGCAAACGTTCATGGGGGACCCCCAGACTGCTGAAGGTCTGAGAAATTAGTGATGGGCCAAGTGAGTCGACACGTGTCGAGCTGTGTATAAGTTTTTAGAAAAGTCATGTGACCCACGCATCACCTGTGCATGGATCTGTGATCAGGTGTGTCTGTGGTGTGTCTCTGATGGGTCGGTGGTGTCTCTCTGGTGTGTTTGTGGTGGGTAGTTGGTGGGTCGGTGGTGTGTCTGTGGTGTGTCTGTGATGGGTCAGTGGTGTGTTGGTGGTGTGTCTGTGGTGTGTCTTTGATGGGTCTGTGGTGTGTTGGTGGTGTGTCTGTGATGGGTCAGTGGTGTGTCGGTGGTGTGTCTGTGGTGTGTCTCTGATGGGTCGGTGGTGTGTTGGTGGTGTGTCGGTGGTGTGTCTGTGGTGTGTCGGTGGTGTGACTGTGATGGGTCAGTGGTGTGTCTCTGATGGGTCGGTGGTGTGTTGGTGGTGTGTCGGTGGTGTGTCTGTGATGGGTCAGTGGTGTGTCGGTGGTGTGTCTCTAATGGGTCAGTGGTGTGTTGGTGGTGGGTCTGTGGTGGGTCTCATGTCAGGTCTCATGTCAGGAGCTGAACATAGACTGTGGAGCTGAAGCAGGTCATGCAGAGTGAGGTGCGCGAGGCTCAAGTCTGCCGTTGTGTGTCTGTTCATCATCACAAAACCACAGAGAAATAGGCCTGTTCTTCTGTGTGGGCTTGTTTTGATCAGTCAAGTGTAGCTCACTGCAGATCTGCTCAGATCTATATTATTTTAACCTACTTTATTGTACAACAGGCTGTGATTTGCTTTAATGACATAAGATTGCGGCACCTTATTGGTCAGTTCTTTCATTTGTTGGATGTCAGAGCGCAGCTGTCACAAATGACTATGAATGGACAAATTGCTCTGCATCATCCTGCTCACCCACTGCACCAGACTATAGAGGGACAGATAATACTCCCTACAACTGTATAACAACTCACCCACTGCACCAGACTATAGAAGGACAGATAATACTCCCTACAACTGTATAACAACTCACCCACTGCACCAGACTATAGAGGGAGAGATAATACTCCCTACAACTGTATAACAACTCACCCACTGCACCAGACTATAGAGGGACAGATAATACTCCCTACAACTGTACAACAACTCACCCTTGTGTAACAGATAATACTCCCTACAACTGGTCAATTACCCTTTTGTAACTTATAACCCTATGTCCTGTCAATCATTATTTCATCTTTGCACTGTTTTCTCCTTACAATCTCTTGTATATAGCTGATGTAGAAATACAGTAATCCAAATATATTTTATTTCTACATATACATTCATATACTTATTTACTTATTTGACACCAGTCTCTTGTAATGTTTGCTAATTATTTTTAATTAATTACCATTTATATTGTTGCTCTGTTATTATATTATATTGTGAGCTACTGGTTCCAAACTATTTCCCTGATAGATCAATAGTTTTTCTAAGACTAATCAGTAAATTTTCTAAACCACTAGATGGCACTATAGAACACACCAGCACAGTGTTGGAAACGTGTTAAACACACCTTTAAGTGTCATCTACCCATTATTAGTAGTAATGGTAATGTGGTTACCAGGCTGTGGTGACCACAGCGCTCCCTGAGGCAGACCTGTGCTCAGTGATGGGACTTTGAAAATGTATTCAGTTACAGAATACGGCTTTAAATGTATTCTTTAACAGACTCTGTTACTTTGAGTTGCATTCTAAACATGAAAACATTAAAACAGTCTTCTGCATTTCTTTATGGCTAATAACAGAAGGGGAAATCGGACACGTGCAAGGGAAGTTATCCTTTTTTTCTTCACATGCCGAACATGTGGCATAGTTAGAAGCCTCACCTGCATGACCAAATATGACATATTCTTTTGATTTTAGGAAAAGTAATACACAGAATACACTAATTCAGGAATGTGATTCTGTATACATATTATTTAGTTTAGATCCTTTTCACTGTACCCGTGAGTGGTGATGAGGACACACATAACTGGCCAGTGAAAACCCTTATTAGGCTGGGTCATGTTATGTTAATATACGTGTTAATAAACAGTAAATACATGTGGTATGTGGGAACAGTGGTGTTAAGGTGTTCTACGTGCATGTGGGTCTCTTTGAAGGAAAAACAAAATGACATACAAATGTACTCATGGTTTATTACAACTCTTTAAAGAAAATGTCAAATGTAAGTGCAGCTGGAAGGGTTGCCACAGCAGCTTTTTCTTTTTTTTTTTTTAAACACCAGATGCCCTTCTTTCCTGAATCAGTCACATTACTGACTGCCAGCAACCCTCTGGTTCAAAGGCAAATGCTGAAGGTGTTGTACCTCTGCTGTCTGACAGACTAAAGACACAGTGCTTACTGTAAGTTTTTGCACAGGAAGCTTAACTTCAAACAAATCACTTCTTTTTAATTTTTTTTTATTTGGACTCTAAACCTGACTAGACAGCCACTTTCGTACACAAAGAAAACAGGCCAGTCCATTGTAGTTTAGGTCTCAGCAGCAGCTCTGGTCTAAGCACAGTGACAATGTGTGCCTACACCACACAGCAGGCTCCCATAGAAAACGAAAATGTCCTCCTGCAAAAAGAGCACCACCTCCTTCTATAAATGCATTCAAATATTGAATATAAAGTTCCAGTGCAGGAATGTGTCAGCTTTGCCAACAAGCTGCAGGTGAAGGCCAGCAGCAGAAGATGTGAGAGAGCTCCAGACACCAGAGCAATGACCAGACAGTGGATGAGCACTCCCTGTGATGCTGTTCCAGTGAGTCCAGTAGACCTTCTGACTGCCCTCCAGTGTATCTGTGTGTGGGCTCTAGATGTAACCATCCTACACAGTGCGTATATGTGTGAGCTCTAGATGTAGTCGTCCTCCACAGGCTCTCCTGGAGTGTCACAGTGGTGCAGGAACACCACCACCACTCGCTGGAACAGGCCTCTGCGGCTCTGCCTGCGTTCTGAGATCTCTTCCCCAATGGTCTCCATGCAAATGTCTGCTGACAGCTGACCCTTCCTGCGTGGGGCATAGATGGTACCTGACACAAAGCAAAGTTTAGTGGCAGGGGAGTACACAGAACAAAGCCTGATACAGTTGCACTGTGCTTTAGGACCAGAGTTGTGAAACAAACTATGCACATTCACTACTTATAGGTATAGATACGGGCTATAGAGCTCCTCCAGTTGTCATCACAGTCCGGGCATGCACCTCCAAATCCCGCAGTGGAGGGCTGAGAATTCCCATACAAACAAATGGCAAGGGCCATGTGTGAGTGAACAAACTTTATTGGAATATTAGTGATTGTGGATTATTGTTGTGCACCAGGATGAACACATTAGCAAAGATAGAAGAAAGGCTGAGCCTTATACTGGATTTGCAAAGCTCCAGATTGATGATAGAAGTGGATTTCTCCAGCTAAACGTGCAAGCAGCTAATGTTAATCAAACCAGACGTTAATTAAGCTATGAATGTACTTTTATTTATATAAACCACAGTCTCATAACGATTCAAAAACTGAAAGCATTAAATAGCCTATTAATGAGGCAGACAGAGTAAACTAAAGAGAAAGGATTCCAAATGCTTTTTGCTCAACACTGTTAATATGTTTAATATTAATGACTGCTTAGAAATGTGATTTGTAGAAAATAAAATCACAAATTAAAGTTAAATCAATGATTTGTATGTATTAATCGCTTATGTAAATGTAATAAAGATGCTATGTAGTTACAACATCTGCTCATTAGTTAGAGCACATTGTATTTCCGCTATTGAATAAATTGACATCAGTATCAGTAAACGTTATATGTACAGGGCTTTATAATAAAGTCTGTTGTGTTTTTCACAAATACCTCCAAGGACCTTTTTTGATGATAAAAGAAGTGTGCAGATATTGCAGAATTAAGACAAATTCTATGCATTGTATTATTTTCAAATAACACCCTTGCCAGGTGAGAATGTTATGGGTGGTACCCACGTTTAATCTGATTAGTTTTAAGATAAATCATTGTCTACAATTTCCTTTAATGACAAAAAAAACTCTAAAAGCGACTCAGTGCCATTCCTTACCGCTAATCTACCACTGCCAACATGGTGTCCCTGTCACATTTAACATTTCACATGGGTGCAGAAGCTCTATAGCCCCTGTCCTGCTACAGTCACACTGTCACGGGTGCTGGAGTAAGGCCATGGTGTGGATGAGAAACAGAAAATATTGTGGAGGGGTGGGTCAAAATGCTTAACTCAATTCTGCATAATATTAATTGTATTTCTTTATAAAAGCAGTAAATATCATTGTTTTGATGCGCTGGTCAGACTGGTAAGAGTACATGTTATGATGAAGAAATGAAAATGTAAGGCTGCCTTACAAAAAATGTCATCTAAACTAAAAGCAATTCAGCTTTAGTCCATGCATGAAGTAAAATGATAAAATATGCTTATTTTGTAAATGAGCTTAAAACGACCGGTCAGAGTCAACCAAAGGGGTATGTGACCCTGGAGCTGGACAATGCCCACGTCTGCACTAAAGCCCGTTTATTCAGAGAAATAAAGGTGATGTAGCAACTTCAAAGAGAGCAACGTAGACAACAAAGGATCAGATCCAGTTTTTGTCCAATCTAACAAATAATAAAAATTAAGTGTAATAGACACATTGAATATTTAATATATTGTAATTATCAGCAGTTACACATGTGAGGATTTACACTGGACAATTGGCCTTATTGTTTAAATAGGCTATTGACTTAAAGCGTGCATATGCATACGATGAAAATGACTGTTTGTACATTATATACAAACAAAAAAACAAATTTACAATCATGTGACCAAAATTGTGAATTGATCCAATTATTGTAAGACTCACTTGTCTCGTCGTCCTCAAAGTCATAGCGAGCGTAGTTGTTGGGATCTGCTGTTCTTAAGGTTCGCAACCAGGGAAAGTCTGTTATCATGCTGTAGGGGGCACCGTCCACAACCCCTGATAATCGAACACACAATGGCTTCAAAGTGGTTCATTTAGACTTCCAATATTATATCCAAATAAAGGTTATTTTTGGCAGGCCAGTTTGTTGTTTACACATACCACGACATGTTTCAGATGCCTTCTGGATCTGTCTTCAGGAGCATCTCATGATGTTACAGTGACACATCTTGTGGCTGATTTACACAGATTTTGGCACTATTCACCTACCTGTATTGGCAGGGGAATAGAGCCATCTGCAGTCTGACTTTTCCAAGACAGCATTCCAGGTCCTTGAAAGTTGCTAGGCCCCCTCGTCCCTGTTAACTGTCCTGTGGACAAGTTTGTGGATCTCGATAGTCTTAATACAATGTTTGTGTTTGTTGTCCTCCATCCCACTTAGATTTGCACTTTGCCAGTCCATAATATATAGTTGCATGGTAACATGCCAGTTATGTGTTAAACATACATGGGGGAAAACGGGAAGAGCTTTCAGCATAGGTAAAAGAGAACGCAAAGCAGAGTGTGAGAAGGAAACAACAGAGGCAACTACAAGAGCAGCACAGAAAAAAGGAGAACAGGAGAACATCAAATCAGCCATCACTGATCACTGTAAGAGACAGAGATATATCATGGACTGGGAAAGTGCAAAAATAATAGGGATGGAGGACAACAAACACAAAAGTTGAATTAAGAGGGCTATTGAGATCTGGAAACTAGACCACAGGACACTAAACAGGGGACAATCAACCTTCAAGGACCTCGGATGCTGTCCTGGAGAAGTCAGACTGCAGATGGCGCTATTCCCCTAACAATGCAGGTGGGTGAATGGTGCCAAAGTCTGTGTAAATCAGCTGCAAGACACGTCACCGGTCACCGTATAACGTCACGTGACACTTCTGAAGACGAATGCAGAAGGCATCCAAAACATGCCAAGGTATATGTAAACAACATATTGGTCTGTTACAAAGATTTATTTATTTTAAAATACTTTATTTGGATAAAACACACAATGAGATCTGTTGTTACTCTACAAATAAATGACACAGGTTTTACACCTCAGTAGAATGCGTTCAAAGGGGGAGAGGAGAAACATTTAGGACAGCCCTTGTGGTAAATGGAGCATTACCTTCCAGAGTGTAGATGTCCCGACCCCAGGGGTACCGTGAGAACTTCTTCACATCATCCTCTGTGCGGGTGGCCTCTGGGAAGAACTCATACTTGATCAGCTCCCTAACACACAGATTGGATTCATTAATAACCAGGGGTGGATACTCTGTTAGATTTACTTGAATAACTTTTTAAAAGTACTATATGGAGTTTAAAAACACTTCCTGTAGAACTAAATGACACCACAAGCTATAACAAAGCAGGATTGTGTGTTAAATTTGTAAATGAAATAACATAACTCAGCAGATATGTTGTTTCCTCATCGTAAACATAACATAGATGACAAATGAGCATAATATGAGCCTTTTGAAACTGAAGACAGAATGAGCCTTTACCAAAGATGAATCAAGTTCTGTTAACATAATACTTTGAGAAGTAGGACGTGTGAGAGTGGCTCACTGGCTGATGTTTGCGATGGTGTCCATCCAGCTCCGGATGCGCACCTTGTTGCGCATGTTTGGGGGGTTGCTGAACTCATGGACAATCGCAATATGGTAGGGGTATGGCCCCTGGAACAACTGCTGCTCCAGAGCCACCGAGTCGATCTGCACAGGAAAGCAGGGACAGTCAAAAAGCACTTTAAAAAGGCCTGCAACTAGAAGAAGGTTAATTGGAACACACTTGATGCATGGGGCGCATGTAGATGATGCGGTTCCTCTCTGGAGGCACCCTCAGGATCTGGTCCAGGACTTGCTGCATGTTAAGCTTTTTACACTGAGCAAAGTCCATTCTGTTTACAATGGGAGCATTCTCCACCTGCAGCTGCTTCAGCACACGACACCTGGTGGCTGAAAAAAAGAGAGAGGTGGCATTTACAACACACACATTGGGCCCAGCACCACCACTACAAACACTACAAACACATGGGCACAGCACAACCACCACCAAATACACAGCACATCACAACAAACACCACAAACACCTGGGCACAGCAGACACAGGCCTACAGCTTACCATGCACAAACATCATCTTTGGGCAGTCTTTGAGGACTAGGTCTGTGATTCCACAGTTGGTTAGAGTAATGCCCACGAGGTTCTTGCTCTTTAGAGACAGCACCTGCACACATGCACCACAGCAGGTCAGCCCACACATGGATTGGCCTGTATACTTTTTACACAGCTCTACCACTTGGAGATAGCTGTGTTAGCATGTACCTGCACGTGGTCTTCCTCTGTGACAGGGTCTGAGGTGCTTGTTGATTTGTCGACATTGCGTTTTCGCTTCACAAACACTCGTGGCCTAGGTTTGGAGACACCTGTACACAGTCCAAACATTTAGTTCTATTCCATCCCTACAGACCTACAGAGAACAGTGCTGAAAGACAGATCTAAAATGAGTAGAGCGTCTCACCAGTGCCTGCCAGGAGGACCTCCGAGGACATGCGTGAGTAAGAGCGGGTCACCGGTCTGCGGGAACAGGACGTCTCTGGTCTATGAGAGGGACTGTGTGCTCCACTGCTGCACCTGGCCCCAACTCGCCCACTGCCTGCTGCTCCTGTCCTCCTACTGTCTCCTCCTCCTGTCCCTCTGCTGGCTCCACCTCCCATCCCCCTGCCCTCTCCTGCTCCTGTTCCCCTGTTGGCTCCACTTCCTGTCCCTCTGTCCAGTGCGGCCGTTCCACTGGCCCAAGGTCCTGCCCCCCTGCCAGTTCCTGCTCCTGTCCCCCTGTTCTCTGCTGCCCCCTTGCCCTCTACCATCCCACTGGCCTCTCCCGTCTCCGTGCCCTCTCCTGCTGCAGTGTGAGGGTCACTCTTGCCTGTAGGCTCTGTAGTAGGGGGGCGCTGGGTTCTGTCTGTGGCTGCCTTCATGTCAGCTTTGATCTGCTCACTGCTGACCTGACAGCTCTTCTCGGCACTGCTGCGAGTATGGCTCTGTGCACTGCTGCTCCGCCGCAGAGGGGCCTTTCCTTTACCTGCAACATACAACATTCAGCTGAAGAGGCATTTATGTCCGTCATCCTCCCAAAAAACTATTACAAATGCACAAAATTATTAAAAGTACTATATTACGCAAAATTGACTCTCCTTTAGCCATGTTACATGTGTCGTTATCTCCTCAAAAACATACCTAGAGTTGTGTTTTGCTTAATTTACATGTTTCTTTAACTCTTTATTATTAGTCTGTCTACATCTATAAAGCTGAAAATGCTCTGTTCCACCTTGTGATGTCATGAAGCGGTAGTTTTAATTTTTTCATGTTAAGAGCTACCTGTTAAATTTTGTTCAGTAGAGATGAGCAGTTCCAGATCATATTCCAAATATGCAAGGTTTGTGTGAATGAAACAAAGCACAACTTCGGGTATATGATTGGTCAGTACTTGGATGGGAGACAGATGGGAATACTAGGTGCCACAGGGGGGTGCCAGTGGCAAAAACATTGGGTCCTTAGGCAAGACACTTCACCTACATTTTCTAATAAGAAAGTGGAGTGTGAGTATTGGTGGTGGTCGCAGGAGCCGATGGCGCAGATTGGCAGCCTCGCTTACTACTGTGACTACAATAGTAGCTTACAACCACTGAGTGAGGAGAGAATGAATAATGAACTGTAAAGTGCTTTGGGTGTCTTGAAAGGCACAATATAAATGATTAATTAATTAATTAATTAATAAAACAACATTAATGTTGATGGATCCAAAAATAGCATAATGTGGGTCCTTTTCCAGTAATTTTCTGTCTGTAATAGATTTTTTTTCATCTGTCTTTAGTTCAAATCTTATGATCATTTTGAAAAATAACAAGTGGCCTGTGTGATTTGAGGACACAGAGGGCGACACTTATGTGGGCTGTTACTCAACTCAAACTGTCCTGACACTCTGATGACTCACCTGACTTTTGTATTGTCTTTATGTTTCACTACTCAATGTCCTCAGGGACAAATAAAGTGATTTTGATTTGATTTGTTTCTCTCTGACCTTATCGGTGTCAGCAATACCATATACAGCCATGTTCTTGTGATTTTGTCCATGTGCCTGGTCTCGTATACAGTACCTGTCACACAGGACAGTGGCTGGTGTGCACACATGGCCGGAGGCACCCGTGGCCCGTCTTCCTCCTCACTGTCTGAGTCTGAAATTACAAGTGCTGCCCTCTCTGCACGGGTCTGCCACACGCCGCTGGGGCCTACATTCATGACATGAGGAACAGTTCAAGAAACTGCACTTCACTTCAGATAAACAAAGAGTTTTATGCAGTGAAGCCTAATTGGAAAAAAGTGATAGGCACCTGCTTGCTCCCGGTCCATGGGCTGTGGTCCTCCCAGTGAAATGCTGGCCCCTGCAGCAGCACTGTGCTCCTGAGATCCACGCTGTTGCACATCTCTTTCCTCATGTTCGGCCATTCCATTCACCTCCATAACTGTTCACACCAAATAACAAATATTCAGCACAAGATAACTGCCTAGTGTGGTCACAGATGAAGATTACTTCCACACTCAGGTCCTACAGCTAAGATCATAACCTCCTTGAGGCTCAGGCCAAGCAGAGGTGCAGAGCAGGTGATGGTCCAATGATGTTCTGGTGCTGTGACCAGACCATATTATATTATATATAACATATGTTATAAAATGACTGAAAAATTTACACTGGAATTGTAACTCAAAATATAGTGGTATTGAATGCAGTATGGAATATAGTGAATGCAGATTCCCTGACATCCCCACCTAGCTGAGATATACCTCTGTTGTCTTGGGCGTCCTGGTGTAGGTTAACAGGTGAAACTGCTGAAGGAGCTTGGACCTCATGTGGGTGATTGGCTCCAACCTCAGCTGGGGGAGCCTGAGCCTCTTGGGGGAGGTTGATTCCAGCTTCTGCAGGAGGAGCCTGGGCCTCCTGGTGGAGGTCGACCGCAGCGTCTGCAGGAGCAGCCTGGGCCTCCTGGGGGAGGTTGACAGCAGCTTCTGCAGGAGGAGCCTGGGCCTCCTGGGGGAGGTTGTTGTTGTCATCATTGGAATTCTGGTTACTGACCAGAGCAGAAGACACACCAATTCCAGTGCCAGCACTGAGGCCTACTCGGGCACATCCCTACAGAGAAATGCAAAGTGGACTGTAAGCATCGGAACTCACATAATGCTATAATACGAGCTGAGAATGGTTAGGTCAGGTCTGTACAGTCCTGATGGCACATCTACAAGAGTTTAGCATAATATTTCAGTTACAGGTATGTAGCAATGCACTAAACACATTCATGCATGTGTGCTTATCAGTCAATAAAGCAGTTATAGAGGCACACATCTACTCCACCGAAATGATCATTTCAGCTTGTTTGTGGCCTACCTTAGGAGGCTCTCGGAACATCTGGTCAAGGCAGATAAACTCCAGGCAGGGCAGAAGCTCTATGAACTGACAGAAGGACTCTAGTTTGATGGCATGACAGCGGACAAGAGTCAGGTCCACTAGGCGGCTCCAGCGGCACTGATCTGAGGCAAAGAGACTTTTCACACTGCACATCTTCAACAGTCTGGATTGCCCAGAAAGGCCTTTGTGGATTTGGACAACATTTCTCTAGCCAGTCATACTGAGGGAGCTAAAGATTTGATCAGTACAGACTTTCACACTAAATAATATCAGGATTATTTTTAAAGGCACTATGGAACTTTTCTGGTGGAGGGGCTGCCATCTGTTTGTCCACATGCATTCGAATGTTGCTAAAATTTTCCACAGTACAGTGTTAAACTTTATCTCCATGGAAACAAACAGGTAATGCCACCACTAGCTTACAGGTCAGAGATCTGTGACCACTCACAGCAAGAATGCATCTTAATCAGTGTGTTTTTCAATGTGTTTTTTAATGTTTTCAATATTTTTGGGCCTTACCTGTGATCCAGCTGTGGGGGTTGTGCAGGTGGGGGCAGTTGTAGACCACCAGGTATTTGATATTGGTGAAGACCTCATTGACCACTCTGAGGCCTATGTCTGTAATGATGCCAGGGTTCTCAGTGACATCGGCCAAACCGTACTTCACTAGCTCCGCGTGGCTCATTTTACCTGCACACACAAGTTGGGTTTATAGGTTTTAGGGAGACATCACACTGACTGATCCTAAACTTTAGCATTACTACTTTTTCTTCACTTAAATTATACCATGACTTTTAAACCATGGCTTCGCAAAGAGAGGGCCGTGGCTATTAGGGGATTGTTAAAGTTGTCAAAAGAAAATCAGATATTACGGGTGGGATGATTCTCGAAAAAAGATCTTCTGACTCTGGTGTTTCAATTTGATTCAATTCTCATGTTCCCCTCCAAGTGCACGGTGTTGTCATTTTGGCACGGGCAGGAAAAAGTGAAGCCTGAGGTCCTTTCTTAGATAAAGAGAGTAAACAGCTCTTAGGAGGCTTACTGCAGCCATATTCTAACAGAGGTGAATGTTATCTTTCAGGCACTTTTTATTCCAATTCCAATACAATAAATTAATATATATTCTCTATATTTATTCATAATGGCTGATCGCTATGGCTCTATTTCAGTTTAATTATAAGATTTCTTAATTTTATTCAGAAAGTTATTTATTTTTATTATAAGTCATTTGTTTCAGATATTTACAGTATGAACATAAATGAGTTATGCTAACAAAAGTTCTGAGCTTTAATAAAGCATTAGAAAGCATTAAATGTGTTTTAAGGTAAGAAATAATGTTAATTTAAAGAAGTGATCAAAGTTGAAGACAATCGAAAATCGTGAGTCCAAAATCGAAAATCAAATCAAATAGTGGCTTAAGAGAATTCTCCCATCCTTATCAGATACTAATCAATACTATAACTGGTATTGAAACTAGATACTCATTCAGCAAATAAGTACAATATACTAAAAAAGTCACGTTCAGGGCACAGAAATTACAAACCTTTCCTAAATAGGTTAAGAATGATCTGAAGAACAACACAGACTAGCATACACTCATGGGTCCCTATGGAACCTACCTGGATTACCTGGAGATTACACAGATATAAAACAGCAGGGTACCGTAATAAAAAAAAGACGTACTATTTTTTAATGTTGACTAAACTTACAGTTCTGTGTTTTTAATTATCACTGTGGTATTTGAATCCCACACACTTTATCGTTTGATTTGACAGTTGGATCTGATAATGCATGTTTTTTATTTGTGCATGCGTGAACTGATTTGTGAGTGTGTGATATGATTTGTGCATAAGTGTAGTTTAAGTACTCACACTGAAGCAGGAACTCATCCACATAGCCCAGATGGAGTGTCTCAAACTGTGGAAACTCCAGCTCTGCCATCTTCAGGGCAGAAAACACTCCGTCTTTGGTCAGAGATGGCTGGATGCGCAGCTCGTGAAGCCTGGAGGACAGACACAACCATATTAGCATTTGGTCATACGTCTCGTTCCATGTAGATCTTTTAGTTTTTGCTATAGCCACAGTTTGTTTGTTTTTTTTTCTTGAAAAAGGGGTGTTGCATTGAATTCATAGTTGTAAAGCTAAAAGGGTGTGTGGTGGAGATGCATACTCAAGACCACAACACTCAGGGTCCTTTGGAGACAGTGCCCCTTGAAGACACATGTGATGCAGATTAGAGGACACACCATTTAGCATGTCCCTATTGTCCAAGTCTTTACAAAGTTTTCTAGGGGTACCGTAATTTTTGTCCAGGCCAGTTTCATTAGTTTGTTTTTTAAAATTATTCTATTGAACAACAATTCAAAAACAGTGTCTGATTTTCATTGGTTATTTATCAGGAAAATGTTATTTATTATTGCTTTTCTTAATTTCAGGTTATTTCAGTGACCATTGTTGGTTTTTCTTTCAACAATTTTGAACATGTCTGTACATACCATACATAAAACACAGTGGAAGCAGGTAGCTGTGTAGTACCTACATTTCTCCTTTTAGAGGATGAATCAAGTTAAGGCACTTAAGGCATCTTTACTTAGCCTGATTCATCAGCCGGTTTCACTTCATAGAAATCGCCTGATCTTGCAGCGTTAGAATTTGTTCACTCGGCGGTAGGCAGGTATTTTTTTATTTTACCAGTCGCTACTATTTGATTGATTGACAGCATTTATATAGCGCCTTTCAAGATACCCACAGCGCTTTACAGTTCATTATTCAGTCACTCCACACTCAGTGGTGGTAAGCTACTATTGTAGCCACAGCTGCCCTGGGGCAGACCGACAGAAGCGAGGCTGTCAATCTGTACCATCGGCCCCTCCGGCCACCACCATCACTCACACACACACAACTTTCATACTAGGTAATGTGGGTGAAGTGTCTTGCCTAAGGACACAACAACAGTTTTTTTGCCACTGGCGCCTCACTGTGGCACCTGGAATTCCTAGTGGTCTCCCATCCAAGTACTACCCAGGCCCAGCCTGCTTAGCTTCTAAGATCTGACGGGATCAGGCTTTGACAAGCTGGTATGGCCACATACCAGTAGTAGTTGGTAGTCACGTATGTAATGCGCCGCTAACGGGGGTAACTGGTATATTAAGCTTTTCCCAAATCCTGTAGGAAGAAGGACAATAACGTCTTTCCCCATGATAAAATTCACCAAATATTCTCTTTCTTCCGGCTTTAAATCCTCGATCTTGGGAATCGTTGACCACACTGAATATATGGCTCTTCGCTGATTGGCTGGTGCCCGAAAATTTTTGTTTTACATGCTAGTTAATTACTGAAAAGATTATTGTGCATGGATGCACCTCCAGGTATGTTTTTAATGAGAAAATTTGTTAAAACTCCTACCTAGCAGAAGACAAACTCTTTAACTGTTCAAAGCATATGTGTCTAATGATAGAGCAAGTTCGACCATTACGTGTTTCTCATAACTGAGAACATGAACTAAACTAAACAACAGAGGAAATGTGTGGCATGGACGCACGTGTGGTGTGGACTGGAGGCTGCTTATGGTTTCTAAACCCGACAGTACTGATGTCATCTATCATCTGTCTATGTAAATGCACACTCAACATATAACAATAGGCTTTATATTGCAAAATGAAGGATCAGTTAGAGTAAATTTTACAAGTTAGACTCGGAAAGGGAGGGGGGAGATGCGCATTTAGGGGAGCAAAAGCAGTGCAGAGCAGTGGCCAAAGTTGTGGTTCATCCTAAAGGAAAGGCTTTAAAATATTCTATGGACTGTCCTCCCTGCTGTTTTGAGCCAAGTAGCAGAGTTTAAATGTAAAACCTGCGTGCAGCCGTGATGATTAGGTAGCCTAGGTCCACTTCCAGAGCATTCTTGCAGGCTCCAAACACAATGGTGTGAAGGTTCCGAAATCCTCCTAGACACACATACAGGGTCAGAGGTACTAGGTCATTTACATTTGAGGTAAACAGCTATTGCTCAAAATATGTATTATCCCAGGAGGGTCTTTTGTTAGTGAAGCATAAGACACAGTATAATAATGACTCAAATATGTAATTATTATGTAATTATCTACAACTCCAATGCCACTGGAGAATAATATAGGGTTGTCAAAAGTTGAAAATTAGATTCTAAATCGGTATTATCGACAGTAGATAATCCTTTAATCAAGTATGAACCAACTATAGAACCTACCAGGATGACTGAAGACACAGAGTTTACCATGAACGTGGAATCAGTACTGAGTATCGAGTCTATTGTTTAGTATCAAAATAGAGTTTGAAATTTTTGTATTGTGACACTTAAACAATATAATAAGAAAAAATTTAAAGAACCATGAAGTCGTTATTTTCTGGTGATTGGCCCATGTGTAGAGCTCACCTGACCTCCAACTGTCCTCCACCACGTGCTGGATAAGGCCTCCCAAAAAAGGCACCCTCACCAGCTCCAGCTGCTCCAGGCTGCGTGCGGAGGCCAGCCCCGTCACTAGAGGCACATATTTAAGCGAGTTGGTGGGTCCGGCACAGTTCTTCATGACAAACGTCTTGAGGTTGACACACAGGAAATCCTTAAAGGGCTGTGGTTTGGTCAGACGAACCCATTTTAAGGAGAGATGACGCAGCATGGCCACGCAAGGGATCTCAGGAACATTCACTCCTGCATCAAACACAAGCCTTAGTGAGAAGTTGATTAAAAATGCATGCTGGTGGTTTCCATTTAAAATGACTATATTATTTTTTATTATCATGTTAATTAAGAAATTATATATTATTAATCTGACTTCCTTATTTAGTAGAGATTAATAAATTATGATCTGTAATTAATTAATCTAATTAATCTCATTTTAATCTCACCTAAAAATTGCTGAGAAAAGCCTTCAATGAGGTATTTTCATTTAAATTCATTATTACATTATTGTGGCAGATCAAAAGACTGATATAGATTTAAAAAAGTGACTTTATAAAGTCATTTATTGTTTAACAAATCTCTCCAAATTGGCTGTTGAGCCCAAGTCTCCATGAATAAGAAACAGTTTGCTGTAAAGTAAAGACGAGGAAATCTGAACATAATAACTTTTGTCTACTTAAAGACAATAAAAAGTCCAGTCTTTCCTTAACCATATTAAAAATATTATTGATAGAGAAATGCTTTATATATGAGATCACTGGTTTTAGTCCTTGTTTTAGTCCTGGTTTAGACCTGCTTTAGTCCTAGTTTAGTCCTGGTTTTAGTCCTGGTTTTAGTCCTGGTTTAGACCTGGTTTAGACCTGGTTTTAGTTCTGGTTTTAGTTCTGGTTTTAGTTCTGGTTTAGTCCTGGACTGGATTAGTCCTGGTTTTAGTCTTGGTGTTAGTTCTGGTTTAGAGGCGCACAGGAGGAAGCGCAGAAAACACGATCCACACGCGGCGCACGGGAGCACGTCGGTGTCTGTGCATTAACTACGGAAGGAAACGTGGTCCGCGCGTTCTGAGGTTAATGACGATGATGAAGGTGTGTGTTTGTTTGTGTTTGTGTGTGTGTTTGTGTGCGTGTCCCCTCATGTGGCAGGTCACTATAGGACAGTAGTGCAGACATCATGAGTCTATGCAGGTTGTTTTCACCAGTGACATTTAAGTTGTAGGCGATATTATATTTGTTATTTTCTTTTATATTTCACGTCGGGAGAATAATTTCCAAGACACGAATGCGTTTTTACCTGTGCACTGCTGACTCTGTTCTACTGGCTCTTCGACCTCATCCATTGTGTGACTGACGCCGCCAACGTTAACATGACGTTTACGTCGCTGTTACTGCGCACGTTTTGTGCGGGTTTCCGGCAATGAGTGGAATTACCGAAATAAAAAAAATTTATAAATGTGTTTTTTGTGTGTGTGTTTGTGTTGTTGTTGTCCCAACAACACATAAAAACAGGTTTTATAAGAAAGCAACTCGCATACAGAAACACTAAAGTTAGAGATTAAAAATGAGATTAACACGATTAAAAAACATAATGCGCTAAATATGACTGTAATTAATTAATCGCAATTAACGCGATAATTTGACACCCCTATTTATAATACAGATTTCATTGATCTAATCCCAAGTTTAACCAGCGTCTGCTCTGACTCTGACTAATCAGTCACAGAAGGCCCAGGTCCACTTAATCAGGTTTAACAGGTTGAATGATGTGACTTGTGTTCATTTCTACTTTACATTTATTTGACTCACAAAACGTAAAAACCTGTAATCACCCATTCATGGATCATACTTTATTCTATTTAACTCATGTACACTTTTAAAATGTGATTTATGTGGGTTACATAGCTTTCAACATTTTAGATTAGCAAAAAAAGCAATTAGCGAATTTAATCTGAAATCAAATACTAAAATTAGCATTTAATTTTTTTTAGACTGCTCCTCTACACTTCTTTTATATTAAACCTGACATCCACAGTCACATGACTTCCTGTGAATCCTCTTTTATGGGATCCACTGATAAAGTCTTGTGTCTTCTCTGAGTTTTTTTTTTTTTTTTTTTTTTTTTAACTCTGCTCCAAACCTGCTTAGTGAAACAGAAAAGTATGATTTGTCTCATATTAACCCAGAGTTTACTCTGAAACCCAGAGGTTACTGAACGTACTTTGTGAAACAGGACCATTATCATTATTGTTAGTATCCTTGTTATCATAATACACAGAGAGCAAGAATCTTTGGTTGTATTTGTGTGTTTGCCATCAGCACAACGTGGCCTTGGGCAGATCTGTGTCATGTGAAAGAGCCCAGGTCCAGAAATACTGTTAATAAGTAAGGTAAGTAAGGTAAATACAACTCTGTTCAGCTGTTAGTTTCACTGTGGACCTTCATCTTTCTCATTGACAAACACAGAGCCAATGCTGCGTGTGTACATCCTGCTGCAGCTCTCGGTGGAACTGCCTTTGCTTGACACGTGGCTGTGGGTTCGCAAGGTTACGCACGTAAACACTATTTTGTCCTACGCGAACGTAAAAACTGCAGTTTTTGGACGTGCTACGTGGGTACCACCAGGGCCCTGCACACAACCGTCCCCCAACCAGGCCGGAACCACTTCCTGATCTAAATGCTCCCCCTCACTGATATATGCATACATTCACAAGCACACATGCATGCACGCACCTGCCTGCACAGGAACGTACATACATATCCACATACATACAAGCCTGCACACACACTCAGGCACACATTCACACACATGAACCCATACTCATCCATGGCTTTAAAAAGTTGTCTATATAATAATAATCTATATTTACTTCAGCAATATATGGCCCATTTCCAGCTGTACGTCTGTATGGGTGTCACAGCAGCACTGAGTAGAACTCACCCACAAGGTGCAGGGTTTGGATCTTGGCTGTCACAGGGATGGTCAGCTTGTTCTCAGGAGGAATGGGAAATGCTCCATTGCGGTTGCGAAACTTTCCCAATATATGAACCTGTGGCATGTAGTTCCATATGGCTTCCACCAATTCCAGGTGCGAGGTCTCCACTCCCTGAAAATACACAATTAAAGGGGGGCTGACCTATTAAAAAATGGGTGAAGAAACATATTTGAACCTAGGAATTTTGTTCATTAAATTTAAATTGAAAGAGGGTCTTCAGAGGAACTAACTCATATGAAATAACAACTATATAGAATATTGTGTAAGTTATTAATGTGGACATTGATGCAAAAGAGTAAAACAGAAATATACAGTACATGTACAAATGGTGAGATGATCAATTCAAAAATACATTATATATTATACCATCTCACACTTTGAGGATCTCAGGGACCAGCCTCCTGCTGGTGCCCAGAGTTGGGACTAAACATCAGCATTTCTGTTTCATGCAGCTATAAAAGAGGGAGGAGAGGGAGCAGTCCAAAAACACAAACAGAAAAGCCTGATGAAGGCACTATGTGCATGAATTGTGCTGTACTTGCCTTGTTTAAATATGTTAAGTACACTCTATTGTGCCCATAGGGAACTTTTCTTCTGCATTTACTCCGTCCTTTAATGCTACTGTGGCAGCCTATCAAGAGCAGTTGGACCCATCTCCAAATCTTAAACTAGTCTTGGTCAGGACTACCTTAGCTGGAGGATTTGACCTATTGTGCATGATTTGGATTAATGTGAAACCAGAGTGCCTGGAGAAAACATGCAAACTTGGGAGTCAAAGTAAAATGGTTTTAAGATTCTGGGCACACTGATACATGTTCATTTTTCCACAGCTCCAATGGGGGTGTGACACTGACCATAAGGTTCGGGCAAGCCTGCAGAGCCTCCAGCAGTCCTGGGATACTAAAGGCCTCATAGCCCCTGACCCTCCTCCTCTCTAGAAAGCATGGGTGCAGCCCATACAGCTGCTCCACCTCCGGCATCTTCTTCAGGAGAATCTGGAAACTGCTATCTGTGAAACCTAGAACAGACAATGACCAGCATATATGAGACAAGCTACCCCCACCAGTATATGTCCACTACTCTGTGGAAGTCAGTGAACTTATTGTTTTAAATGAATATTTCAATTTAAAATGCCCGACCATCTCAGATGTGACTGAAAAAATTCTAGGAGGTTCACACACTTTCCAACAGGAAAACTCCATAAATTTTAGCTCCCAACTCCTTATAGTTTTGTCATTAAAAGATATTTTGTCACCTCTGCCCTGACCTGTTTTGAGCAGAGTTGTTCAAGGAACCACTTTCAGATTGTTGTAAAAATCTAAAAAAAAAACTATTTAAGGTAGGTCCTTCAAATTTTCAAGGGTTAAAATTTGTCAGATGTACTTGTAGAATCTTGGACTTTTACACATGTGCTTTTGATTTATCACAGATTTCTGGGGGCTTGAATTTGCTAAAAAAATTTTACTCTTCAAATTTGAGGGCATCTTTGAAGGACTGTGGAAAGTGCAATTTTAAAGACAGAGGTTTGATATTGAACATGCATCTTCCCACACACACTGTGTACTTTGTATTTTAAAACAGCCTCTGTGATGAACGCTCCACAAGATATTAAGTGTTAAAAATGGAAAAAATAAATTTGTTGCCATCTTTACCACGTTGTACCAAAAAAAATGACAGAACCCACCAACATCAAATGGACTGTTTCAGAAAGACTTGACGTCTGTTTTTAACATATCCAAAATTTGTGATGGTGTTCAGTCTGATTTTTGCAAAATGAATTTGTGAAAATGTGGTGTCCGCATACATGCAGAGCATTCATGGACTATGAAGGCACTTTCAGAAGCTAAGAAAACACTCAGAATATTTGACACACAGCTTAAATTCAACAAAATGCTTGATTTGATGACTCAACTTCCACATTCGGAGATTTGGCATGGAATGACCCCATAATGATCCACGGGTGTGATAGATTATGACTATATAGCAGACACACGCACAATAACTATATTCCCCTGCCTTGCACCTTACCATATTCCACAAGTATTTTTAAATTGTTAGGTTCATTCACTATTTTTGTATTAGCAGTTTCACTAACAGCAATTTCACTAACATACATGTATTCTTTAGGATAATAAATTTGATTCCATTCATGGTGAGTGAAGGTGATGATCTGCAATAAAAGCAGAGTTACCTGAGGGCATATAGTCCCACCAGCGGCCCGCGCATAGGTCCACCACCCTGAGCACACGCAGGTATAGAGACACCGCCTCCCGGAGCTTTCGGGATAAACACTCCATCGAGATTATGTCCTTCAATGGGAGATACCTAAAAACACAAGATAGAAAATACTATGAAGGACAACAGCTAAAATGTGACTTGTATTCGGTTAATGTAAAAGGTGCATGTGCAACTTTTCTGGTTGGGATTACACTATTGCATAGGTGGGTAGAGTAGTCAAAAATTTTACTCAAATTAAAGTAATGTTATTCCTAAATAATATTACTCAAGTAGAATTACAAAGTAGTGGTCCGAGACATTACTCAAGTATTCCTTTGCATTTGAGCGCAGACACATGAAACATATTAAAGAGCTGCAAATTTCACCAAAAGTTCAAATTTTTCAACCAGCCTAAACAAGTGTCCACTATAGATAAGGCTGTAAACTATACAACTCTCACAATGTGACATTATAACAAATTTAGAGATAAAGATAATAATAAATGTGATGCTGTTGTGATAAGCGCAGATAAGTACATGGGAGAGAGTACCTGAAGATATGACAGAGGAGCTCATGGGAGAGCTGGTTGACGTAGTCTTTGTCCTCCTCTGGATGGGGCTGCTGTGCTTCATGGGTGTGCTTCACAAGCTGCAGTCTGGATACTTTCTTTCTGGGAGCCATCTCACCCTCTCCTCCTTAGTCTTTGGACTTAGCACATCAGTCACAATTCTAAAAACATTCGTGTAATCATTATCCTTTGACTGATACCTGTGTATCATAAACAGGATCCAAATAGGATATGCTCAATTACTGAAGTGAAATTTATGAGTCTGATCATTGTCTTCTCTTTTATAGAGCTTGCATTTAGTCTATTATTTGACACAATATCACCATTTTGGTTTGGCAATCTGACTATTAAACTAAAGTCACAAATACTGAATTTGACCAAGAATGTTGGGAAATGTTTTAAGGAGACAGTTGTGAAGGAAGGTCAATGGTGGCTGACCCCACTCACATCCTACATCAAGAGTTTCAGTTACCATCCACATCGTATGAAACTTTTTTTGTGTGTGTGTGCATGAAAGGTGCAGAGCGCAACTTTTCTGATGTCTCAATTGCTTTGCCTGGAATCTTACATGGTATGACATTAAAAAAATCATTAACTAAGCATTTGTTCATTATAGACGTTTCTATTGGTCAAAAATACAATATTTCCTTCTGTGAACAGGGGCGACTCTCCACAGATTTGAACTGTAATGTAGTGTCGTGCTGTAACCTGCTTGTCTCCCTTGTGACAGATAAATGTTCTACATTATAAATTAAACCCTTAGCCAAAGCAATAACATTTCCATGTAGACAAGCAGGTGGTGGACCCTCTACTAAAAATGTTACACAATGCACCTTTAATGATGGAGTGATGTGGATTAAATGACAGATGCTAGAGCAATTGTTTAGCAAACAAATTTCTACTTTTGGGGTGAGAATGTACAAAATATTTTTAGACATGTGCAATTCAGTATATGTTTAAGCAGTAGGACTGGGCGCTGTTTGTAACTGCTGAAAAGTATTAATGAACTGGTTGAGAATTTGTGTACTGTATCAGATCATGTTAAAATCATGGTGATGCTGCAGCTCTTGGTGTTGTGAGTGTGGAGTGATGCCTCTGTCTGTTGTTGTGTTTTGTACCCACTGCTTGTCTGACAAGAATTTCTCCATAATGTAGACAATAAAGGCAAATCATCTAATCTAATTTAATCTGATGTTAGTTTCTCAGGATCTTATCGTATCATGAGTCTGATAGGTATCGATAGGTATAGGTATGCTGTATTGGACCGGTCATGAGCTCTGGGTAATGACCGAAAGGACAAGATCATTGATACAAACGCTCAAAATGAGTTTTCTCTGAAGGGTGGCTGGGCGCTCCCTTAGAGATAGGGTGAGGAGCTCAGTCACACGGGAGGAGCTTGGAGTAGAGCCGCTGCTCCTCCACATTGAGAGGAGACAGCTGAAGTGGCTCGGGCATCTGTTCCGGATGCCTCCTGGACACCTCCCTCGGGAGGTGTTCAGGGCATGTCCCGCCGGGAGGAGGCCCCGGGGAAGACCCAGGACATGCTGGAGGGACTATGTCTCTCGGCTGCCCTGGGAACATCTCGGGATCCCCCCGGAAGAGCTGGAGGAAGTGTGTGTGGAGAGGGAAGTCTGGGAGTCCCTTCTCAGACTGCTGCCCCCAAGACCCGACCCCGGATAAGCGGAAGAAAATGGATGGATGGAGTCTGATAGGGTACACTATGTAGCCTGGGTTGTAGTCATTATTCATTAGTCATTATTAAGTAGGTGACTGAATGTATCAGAAGTTTACTACTACTACTACTACTACTACACAGATACACAAACACTTCATAGTCTGTTAGGTCTGTAGATCTGTCCTCAGTGACTCATTATGTTTATAGGTGTTGCAAGGATTCATTTAGACTCAAACAAAGACAGCTCCCTCTAAACTGAGCAGATCCCAGAGCAATGTCCACGGTCTGCATGCAGTTTAGGAGACAGTCCAGCACAACAACCACTGCGCAGTGTTGGCGTGTTTAGTGCGTTAGTGACAGCAGAAATCCGCGCAGTGCTATGTGCAACAACGAGACTTGTTTTTGTTAGCTACAGTTAGCATGCCGTGGGTTCCCATGGCTCAGACAAGTACTTTCTCCTCTGAATTAACTTTGTGCAGTATGTTGTTAAAGTGAAAAGCAGGATCTAACCTGTGGGTCCCTCGCGGTCAGCTGTTATCTCTTGACCGATTCCATCTGAGGCGTAAAACTGGGCAAGAGATCGAAGTGTTTGGATCTGTGAGTTGCTCCTTCCGCTCCGTCACGAACCGTCCGTCTGCTGGACTCTTCCCGCTACTGCCCCGCACGGCCAGGAGGTTTTTCTTATTTACACACAAAACATATAGTCAAGCCCAAAATGATTCATACATAAATTTGTCAGGAATTTTGACTTAAAGTTACTTTTATTCAACCAGCATGTTTTTTCTTGATTGGAAATGACACAGGCATCTCCCAGATGATAATAAGACGATGTACAAGAAGCATTATTGTGGAAAAAAATATTTCTCAGCTTTTATTTACATTTGAACAAAAAGTGGCATGTCCAGAATTATTCATACAGTTCTCGATAATCAACAGAAAAGCCTTTATTGGCTATTACAGTAATCCAATGCTTTCTATAATTGCTGATCAATTTTTTGCAAGTCTCCACGGATATTTTTGCCCAGTCATCTTTAGCGGTGAGCTCCAATGTTTTCAGATTGGAGGGTCTCGTTGCCATCATCCTGATCTTTAGCTCCCTCCACAGATTCTCAGTTGGATTCAAATCAGGACTCTGGCCGGGCCACTGCAAAACGGTAATGTTTCTGACTAATAACCATTTCTTCACCACTTTTGCAGTGTGCTTTGGGTCAGTGTCGTGGTGAAATGTCCACTGGTGCCCAAGTCCAAGTTCCTCTGCAGGCTGCCTGATGTTGATGTTGAGAACCTTGATCTGTTGCTCTTTGTTCATGGTGCTGTTTACTGTGATTAGACTCCCTGCCCCACTGGCTGAAAAAACATCTCCAGAGTATTAGGTTCCCACCATCAGGTTTGACAGTGGGGATGTTGTTCTTAGGGTTGAGGACTTCTCCTTTTTTACACCAAATCATCAATACATCATTGTGGCCAAACAATTAAATTTTTGTTTCATCTGACCATAAAACAAAAGACCAAAAGTCTTCTTCTTTGTTCAGATGAGCATTTGCAAAGGCTAAACGGGCTTTTGTGTGTCTTATCTGGAGAAGTGTTTTCCTCTTTGGTCTGTGTCAGTGGAACCCAGCAGTATGTAGTGTCTTTTGGATTGTCTGTCTTGAGATGTTCCACCAACAGTGCCCAGATTCACCTGGATGGCCTTGGTGGTGATCTGTGGATTCTTTTTCACCTCTCTCACTATCCTCCTGACCAGCACAGGTGTCACTTTTGGCTTCCTTTCACTATAGACACTATATGTATATATATATATATATATATATATATATTATATATATATATATATATATATATATATATATATATATATATATATATATATATATATATATATATATATATATATTTATTTTATTTTTATTTTTTTTTTTTTTTCTCTTCGTATTTATTTATTTATTTATTTATTTGTAAAGGGACAGTGCATATTAATGAACATTTACAATGTAAATATGTAAAGATTACAGCCAGAGTGGCTAATTTCCATCTTCAGTCCCTCAAAAGGTTGATGTGAAATCATCTACAGCAGTGGTCCCCAACCTTTTTTTTTGCCATGGACTGGTTTTATATCAGACAATATTTCACGGACTGGAGGGGGGCATACGGGAGGAGGCGTGGTGGGCGGTCTGGGGGCAAGGTTAAGTCCTGGCTAAATCCTGTTATGGTCCTGATTTAGTCCTAGTTTTAGACCTGTTTTAGACCTGGTTTAGTCCTGGTTTAGACCTGTTTTAGACCTGGTTTAGTCCTGGTTTAGACCTGGTTTAGTCCTGGTTTAGACCTGGTTTAGACCATAGACTGTATATATGCTTTTATACAGTCTATGGTTTAGACCTGGTTTAGTCCTGGTTTAGACCTGGTTTAGTCCTGGTGTAGTCCTGGTTTAGACCTGGTGTAGTCCTGGTTTAGACCTGGTTTAGACCTGGTTTAAACCTGGTTTAGACCTGGTTTAAACCTGGTTTAGACCTGGTTTAGACCAGTTGAAAGTCGTTTAAACCAGCTCAGACAGTATTTAACCCCTGTCTATAACATTTGATTTCATTTCGACTTAATGTAAGCACACTGATAGAACTGTAATGGCAAGATTAAAGCTAATTGCCAATGTTTGAGTATACTGAATGCATGTTGTGTCACAGTTACATTTGAGTAGATTTAATGCATGTTGTGTCACAGATTCAGAGGTGTGTCATTTCCCTCTATCTTTACCTGGGCTCCTTAGAAAGTCAGTGTAGAACAGGCATGTCCAAACTATGGCCCGTGGGCCGAATGCGGCCCTCAGACAAATTTTTTCTTGGCCCTCAGGCTTCCAGGTGAATTTGTCCAAATTACCTTGCATGAATTAAAAAATAACTTTTTACTGCAAGTTTTTTGAAAATAATAATAATAAAATAAAAAATAACAATAATAAAATTAGGGGTGTCAAATTATCGCGTTAATTGCAATTAATTAATTACAGTCATATTTAGCGCGTTATGTTTTTTAATCGCGTTAATCTCATTTTTAATCTCTAACTTTAGTGTTTCTGTATGCGAGTTGCTTTATTATAAAACCTGTTTTTATGTGTTGTTGGGACAACAACACACACACACACAAAAAACACATTTATACATTTTTTTATTTCAGTAATTCCACTCATTGCCCACACAAAACGCGCGCAGTAACAGCGATGTAAACGTCATGTTAACGTTGGTGGCGTCAGTCGCACAATGGACGAGGTGGAAGAGCCAGTAGAACAGAGGCAGCAGTGCACAGGTAAAAACACATTCGTGTCTTGGAAATTATTCTCCCGACGTGAAATATAAAAGAAAATAACAAATATAATATCGCCTACAACTTAAATGTCACTGGTGAAAACAACCTGCATAGGCTCATGATGTCTGCACTACTGTCCTATAGTGACCTGCCACATGAGGGGACACGCACACAAACACACACAAACACACACAAACACAAACACACAAACACACACCTTTATCATCGTCATTAACCTCAGAACGCGCGGCCCACGTTTCCTTCCGTAGTTAATGCGCGGACACCGACGTGCTCCCGTGAGCCGCGTGTGGATCGTGTTTTCTCGCGTACACTGCGTAAACTGCGCTTCCTCCTGTGCGCCTCTAAACCAGAACTAACACCAAGACTAAAACCAGGACTAAACCAGTCCAGGACTAAACCAGGTCTAAACCAGGACTAAACCAGAACTAAAACCAGGTCTAAACCAGGTCTAAACCAGGTCTAAACCAGGACTAAACCAGGACTAAACCAGGACTAAACTAGGACTAAAGCAGGTATAAACCAGGACTAAAACAAGGACTAAAACCAGTGATCTCATATATAAAGCATTTCTCTATCAATAATATTTTTAATATGGTTAAGGAAAGACTGGACTTTTTATTGTCTTTAAGTAGACAAAAGTTATTATGTTCATATTTCCTCGTCTTTGCTACTTTACAACAAACAGTTTCTTATTCATGGAGACTTGGGCTCAACAGCCAATTTGAAGAGATTTGTTAAACAATAAATGACTTTATAAAGTCTTTTTTTTTTTTTCTATATCAGTCTTTTGATCTGCCACAATAATGTAATAATGAATTTAAATGAAAATACCTCAAATTGAAGGCTTTTCTCAGCAATTTTTAGGTGAGATTAAAATGAGATTAATTAGATTAATTAATTACAGATCATAATTAATTAATCTCTCAATTTTTTTTATCGCATGACAGCACTAAATAAAATACTAATATTTAATATTGAGTGTGTGGTTTTAAAGATCTTAGCATGAATAAAGACTGATGGCTCATTCAAATGTGTTAAACATGCACATATTTGAATTATTCACTGTATTGAGCATCAGTCTGTGGCCCTCGATCAGCCCTCTTGCTTCGTCTGTGTTAAGATATGTGGCCCTTAATGAAAAAAGTTTGGACACCCCTGGTGTAGAGTACAGATACTTTATCAGATATCAGATTTTAGTTGCCGTTCACCTGAATTTCTTTTCTAGTTTACAGTTTTATAGATCCAACAGTGTTGGGGAGTAACGGGTTACATGTACTGGCATTATGTAATCAGAGTACAAATTATGAGTAACTGTATTCAGTTACAGTTACTGTTTCAGTGAGTGGTAATTGGATTACAGTTACTTTGTTGAAATAAATGGATTAGACAGCGGTATTTTCCTGTTTTCACATTATGGGCTGTATCCCATTTTTTATTTTGGTAATTCCATTCATTGCCGGAAAGTAAAGCAGGACTAAACCAGGTCTAAACCATGTCTAAAACAAGACTAAAAACAGATTTAACAGGACTAAACCATGCTGCGCGGATCGTGTCTCCCCTCATGCACTGCACTGTTAACAACCTGATTCCACATAATTTTGAGTAAAAAATATAAAATATTACTGATTTTTACTGGGCTGGCACCTTTATGTTTGTACTGAAAGTAAGTTTTGTTTTTTTGAATAAACAATATGAAACTTAACAGTAGGTGGGCATAATTGAAGGCAGCAGTGATCTCATATAGAAATCATTTCTCTATCAATAATATTTTTAATACGGTTAAGTAAAGTCTGGGCTTTTTATTGTCTTTTAGCAGACAAAACATCTTATGTTAAGATATCCTAATCTTTGCTATTCTACAACAAATCAAGTAATCCAAAGTATTCAGATTACGTTACTCACCTTAAGTAACTTAATGAATTTCGTTACAAACTACATTTTTGGGCATGTAATCTATAATCTGTAGGGGAATACATTTGAAAAGTAACCGTCCCAACACTGAGATCCAATAACCCTGACTTCCCCAGTTTTACAACATATTTCTTTGGATTAGAGACAGCGTGTCATGCCCCTGGCTATGACACTCTTTCCTCTGTGCTCACCTCCTTCCTTTAGCTGTGTGTGTGGGTGGAGTCTTCTCCTGCAGCTGCTCACCTGAAACCAGTCTGTAGTCCAGCCTGAGCCCTTTTAGCCTGAGCTCTGAAGACAGCAGCTGCCAGAATGTTCCGTCTTGTTTTGATGGTGATTTCTGTCAGCAACTTAAACTTTTGCAGTTACTTACACTTTAGTATTTATCCGTACTTACCTCCGTCTCCTGTTTTTTCCAGTTTCTGTT